AAGGAAAAAGAAGGGTCGACTTGGCATCGAGGTCGAGTCTAAAAGATTTACCTTCTTCATTAAGGTGAAAAAAAATCTTGAACGGCTGGGAGGTTTGCAGGATCTGAAAAGGAAATGAGCAGCCCTGACTCCCTGAGGTTGGCCTTGGTTAAAAGAACGCTGATGTTGCGTTCGTTCTCCGGAATCACGAAGGTGTCAAGTACCCTCGCCTGCATGTTCCCAGTTAGCTTCGGCCGGTCGTGAGTGACTGCACATTAAGGTAATTGTCAGCGTTACAAAAAAAAGAAGAGAAGATAAGGAAAATTTTTACAGTTTTCACTTAGTCTCCTAAATGACGTTTGCACTTTTCAGTGTTAGGGCATACGGTCTTCAGGGTGAAAGTTAAAAGGTCCCCTGACCATGAAAAATATAGGTTTCCAACTGTGGGAGGAAGAAGGGATGCCCTGGATCAATTTACCTAAAATGGGCATCGACCACCCATGACTACCCAAAAAGTACCACCATTCACACTTCGTGACCTGGCTTAACTTGTATATATAAAAAAATTCATCCAGGGGCAAATCCACATAAAACCGCTGACTCCACAAAACCCAGGTACCGGCGAAGCAGTACTAAAAGTTCAGCGCTAGTTGAGCTGGAGAAATGCCATGATCATGGCAAAAATCCTTCACGAAGGGATGAATTGGTAATGTCATCCCTGCAGTGAAGGCCCGGGTGTACACTAAAAGATACTTGGAAGGAGGAAGGCTAGACCTAAAGTTTATATCTGGGAGGTGTTATTCAAATCATCTCCCGTCTATACATCCATCTCTGAACATCCGGATGATGTCTTTGTTATGAGTAAACGATGGCATGTCTGCGTCCCCGCTTATGACGGCCAAGAGGTCTTCGACAACAGAAGTGGCGACCCTAAAAACTATTCCCTCAGAATGGAGTCATCACCCGATGAGGAAGACGCCCCTAAAGGCTTAGCGGCGGAAGTAGAGTCTGGCCTCACAACAAACGAAGAAGGACCCTCTCGACGGTTAGATGGTTTGGGAGCCATTGTTCTGGTATAACAAGAAAAGAAGGACAATATAAGCTAAGTTAAAATCCTAAGTCGAGAGGGTAAGGGTAAGCATGAAAAAAGATGATCTTTCAAGCTGAAGGCATGTGAGTGCCGATGGCTCATAAAGCCGTCGATCATTCATAAGAGAAGAACGATAAATGTTCAAATGGAACCCATATTTCCTAGCCAAAAACCCCTAGTCCAGAACCTCAACATCTCGATAATCAACCAGAAACCAAAAAGGCTAGTCTATTAGAGCCCCAAACATACGAAAAGTAAGTTTTTAACCTCCTAAACATCTATTTCAAGCTTAAAACAGGCAACAATCCAACGAAAACAAAGCAAGGAAAGCAGAAAATGTGCAAAGAAGTATGCGTAAACGCGATGGCAGCGAAAAGACTTACCGCAGGCTTGAAGGATGGCAAAATCTGAAGATTTAACTGGAAAGGGCTTCATGAGACATCAAATGAAGCGAGAGAAGTGGAATAGAGGGTACTGGGAAAATCTTGGCAGAATAACGACAGTTCTCAGGAATTTGGAAGGAAATGGCTTCGGTTTGAAGTAGACTTATAAAGAGGAACGAACCCTCGACCCCTGGCTGTTGGATGGAATCCTAGTGAATCCAATGGTGGGGTGATCGATCAAGATCGAACAGTAGTGACAAAGGCGAGAGACCGGAAAAACGCGATCGGACGGTTTAGAATTCCTCATTCAAAAAATGCAAAATGTCAGCAAAATGATGAGCTGAATTGACGTGACTGTTAACCTTCCCAAGAAGCCGCCGTAATGTCAGTCATTATTGCTTAGGGGTACCAAGCTGCACCACTTGTGCCAAGTCATCGAATGTGCGAAGGCTCCAAGCATGGGTTGCCTATGAAGGTCGGCGCCCCCTGAAAAGTAGCCTCGACCTAGGGGACAATTGTTGTGGGGTAAAATCTTAAGCCCCACAGGAAGCAACGAATGGGCGCCATATGGCATGATTAGAGGATAAAATAACTAAGACAAAGATACGAAGAAGCGGTAGAGTAAATCGATCAAACGCGGACCCTTAGCAGTCAAGTATCTCCGTTCAAAGAATTGACTAGAAGGAACAAGAGCCACACCGTGAAGACGAACGCTCCACTGGCCATGAACGAAGAGCGCTTCCAGGGAGCCGAAGGCGACGAACCCCCCCACGTCCAGGTTAAAGTACGACTGTGCCAGGATTTGACGTGCATTAAATGCATGCAGAGTAGGTAGTGAGGTCGGTGGAGAAAGTCAGCCAGATTGGCTAAAATCTCGGTGATAAAAGATTACTGTTTCGGAGTGGGGAGAAGATATCACGGGATTTGATTAGATGGTTAACAACTGACAGATACGATACGATGTATATAAGCAGAAAGGATGGGTTGAAAAGGGGTCGGATTATTGAACACCCTTTCCCCATAATTTGTATTTTTCTCTACCAAGAATAGTGAAAGACTTAGTGGATGTAGCTCTACATTGGAGTGAACCACTATAAAACCTGTGTTGATTTTGTTTCTTTTCTTTTAATAATTCATGTTTAGAGTCTAGTTAATCTAAGCACAAATCACAGAACCTATTATTAATCTGTTGACAAGTTTTTACCGTCAACAATATATAATCAAATCTATGGTAGGGGTGAAAGTTTTTTCCCACAAACGACCACATTTTAACAACAAATTATGATAAAAGAGACGATGACGTAATACTTTTTCATTTTGATTTTGAGCTTTTTGCCTTAGATAAATTTTACTTTTGAGCCTCGGAGAGTTTTCCATACAGAAACCCCATTTTTGAGCCCGATTTCGAAATTTTCAGACTAAGTTATCAAGAATGAAGTGAAATAGCAGTTGTCACCACATGAAGAGGGAATTTTCACCCAACACATATAGAGACTCGCTTTATTTTTTTAAAGTTGCAAAATTTATACTAAGTTGCTTTATATAGTGAAATAAATTTTTGTGTTATAATTAGCACCATCAAATAGAAGTACAATTTAATCAAGTTGCAATATGAACGTTAATTTTTTATAGCATAATATATATTTTAACGAAGTCAAATATTAATTGTTGACGGAGCAGCCTAATTACTAAACCGGTGAATCAATCTACTTTCAGCAAAAATGGGGGTTTACCGTTTTCTCCTTTTTATCATGACGACTTATAAATATACAAATACACAGGCTTGCAAAGACAAAAAGTTCCTCCTACAAATAAGCTATAAGTTGATTAGTTAAGTTAATTTCTAGCGTCTTTATACATATATATTGCATCTTCATGCATGCATGTGAAGTCGGAGAATTAAAGATCGATCATGGAAGCAAGCTCACGAAGGGCAAGAAGTACAACAATTATATATATATATATAATTATATATATATATATATATATATATATATATATATGCATACATGTACTTTACCTATTCATATATATACTAGACATGGACAATATGTTTTATTTCACGTGGCCGTGTGTGATGTGTCCACCTACATAAAGGAAGTAAAGGTGAAGGGAGCCAAGAGAATGTCTCCAAATGTAACTGAAAGCAAACACGACAAAGATTGCCAAAGCAAAACCATGTAATATGTCTTGTCATTAGTTGCTGACATTAATAAAGTTCATGACATAACAAAAGTTGGATCTAAGCTTAAACAAGGTAAGTGATTTTTACCATTGGATCAATAGATTTATATTATATATATATATATCCTTTTATTTTAATGTAATTTTGATCAAGTCAAACGATAAAAATACTATGTCATGTGAATTGTTATACGTATTTTTTTTTATCATGAATTGACATAATAATGTTTTAAACTCCTATTAATATAAATATGACAACTCATATTTCACATTAGTTAGCACATAAAAGTTGATTTTTTTTAATCAAAATAAAAGTTGGGGTTTAAAATTAATGTCTTCAACATTATTCTAATATGAGACCCCATCTTATATGTACCCGTTAGTTAGTTAAATGTACAAGAACTATTATGTAAAACATCCTCTTATATTATTGGCTTCTCAGCGAGTAAAGGTCCCCCCTAGTAATAATTGAGTTAGAGCGTGTTACATAGTAGCTGAGTCACATAACATGAGGTCCATTTGGTGCATATGACACAATACTTTTTTTTTTCTTTTTTTCTTTTTTTTGTTGCTGTGGAAAGATGATCCTTAACAGTAAACACTAATAAGTGACCCTCTCAACTAGAACATAGGGCCACTCAACTTTTATGAGACAACCTCTGTAGCTCCACATTCATCATGTCAAGTCCCATAGAACTTAATCTCTTGAGGGCTTTCCACTAGCTAGATGGACACGAATTTTCTTTAGATAGTACAACATGCTAGTTAATTCAAAGGAGGTAGACTCTGTCTAATAGTGCGTGTTTTATAATGTTAGATTTAAATAAAATCACATCAAAACATGAAAAATATGCAACACTAACAGCATATTATATAAATCAGACGGTTCAAATAAAACTCTTATCAGTAGGATTTTTTTTTTTTTTTTTTCATATTCTACCGTAAATTCTCACAAAAAAAAAAAAAAAAAAAAAAAAAAAATTTTAAATTTTATTGGGATTCTTTTTTCATAACTTGTATCATGTAATTGTCCACAAGCCTTATAATTGTCCACGAGTTTAATGAGGAGTGAGGAACTCCCTTTTCCTATAGAAAGAAAATATATTTAGCTACTTATTCTCAACTAAAAACAATGAATCGCTAGAATATGCTACTTTAGCTGCTGAATTAATTTTTTAATTATTTAACTGTGAGTACCCTAAGCAAAAATTTACGGCGCTTAATATAAAACAGTTTCTAATGGCGGTAGATCAAACTATTAAAAGTTAAAAATTGTTTCTAATTGTTTATCAAACTGTAATGCAACTAAAACAACAACTGATATGATAAAGAAAAAAAAAAGATAATTCCTGCCGTAAAAATTTCAAAAAGAAAAAAAGAAAATAAATGTAATGACTGCTTTCGAAGTTTATACAATATACATATACACGTTTTCTTTTGTGGGAAAATATACATACATGATGGTTTATACAGCAAGATCTTCTATTTAAACAAAATGAAATACACACGAGCTTTCTACGCAGGACGGTGAAAAATTAGCGGAGAATAATTTTCTACATTAGACATTAATTAGCTAGTATATTAGTATCGACTAATGAAGGCCTTAATATGAGCCATCATTTGATTTGATCTCATCAGCGATAGCTCAGACTTACTCAGAATCTGAAACGCATGCCCTACACCTTCGTACACTTTACACTCCACCTTCTTTCCGGCTTTGCTCAAAGCAGCACAAAACTCCAAATTCCTGTCTCTCAAAATATCTATCTCCGAAACACACACCATCACCGGTAAAACATGTCTTAAACTCTCCGAATTAGCCGAAGGATTGCACCACGGATGGTCGCGGTTGGCCCCCGGAGGCAGAGCCAGCCGCCAGTACGTGTCGGACGCCTGCAGGCTCAATGTGGACCTCGGGGACTGTGCCACAAGCCTTTCAGAGTTGGTCCTTGCCTTGCCCCCAAAAAAGGGTTGTAAGAGGACCGATCCCCGAAAAGTCAAAGGTGTAAGATTATAAGAAGCTAGACTAGTAGCTAAGTGTTGGGTGATGTTGGCGCCGGCACTGTCCCCAATTAGGAAGATTCTAGAGAAGTCGCAGTGTCTCCACCACCAATAGCATTCACTATTGTGGCTTTTTACTGTCGTCATCGCCGCCGCCGGTGCTGCTTGTTGCTTTAGCCAATTGAGGGATTTGAACCCGTCTTCATAAGCAGTAGGGAGAGGGTTTTCAGGGGCTAAACGGTAATTTACCGACATAATTAAGCACCCTAAGTTGGAGGATAATTTGGACAAGAATTCGTGGTAGCAACTCCAAGCAGCTGATCCAACACAAAACCCACCTCCATGGAAGTAAACTAGCAAAGGGAGTTTATTATTATTACTACGAGTATGGGCTAATTGGCTTGTGACACTAATTGGGACATAAAACCGTGCCCAAATATTTTTGGACTTGTCAATTACAATGTCCCTAGAATTCACCACTCCTTGATATTCTGGTGACAAAAACGAGGCCTCAACACATGGAACAATTTGGGGTCTTTCGACTTTTCCTTCTTTGTAGACTCGAATGAGACCTTCAATTTCTTCCACAACGTTGTTGATGAATATTGGAGGGTTTTTTTTGGTGGGTTTTATGCGTAGAGTTGGGTCAAGGACAACGGTACTAGCCATTCTTTTGGTTCTCATAGAAGAGACTAGAGAGAGTGGGTTTTTTTTTGTTTTTTTTGTTTTTTTTTTAAGAAGTGAACAATTGCGTGGCCTTTGGGTTTCTATATATAGGAGATTAACATGCTAAGGCTAGCTAGAGTTTTGGAGGGGTATCAAAGTGGGAAGAGATCAGCCTATCTTGTCATGCCAAGTGGGCAATGTGGGAAACTGCCAGACGTCCTTCACGTAGATTCTAAATATGGGGGTGCGTCGGTCCATGTGTGGGGGTGCAGTTGCAAAATTATTATTATTTTTTTTCTGAATTCAACGCTCCTTTTGCTGATATAAAAAAATAAATAAAATGTGTACTATTTCTGAAAAAAGTGATGTCAGATTAATCATAACTCGCTTTCATACAGCTTTGTCATTGGTGGGCTGTTGTGTGGACTGACCTATACCCCAATTCACTGAATTGTTATAATGATTAGTAATACAAAAGGCAAATTAGAAGAAAAACATGTTAATCTGAGTTCACACAATCAAGGCTGACTTGATTAGTCATGTGATTTGACCTTAATCGATGACATTCATCTGCTAATGTGATTGTAAGTGCTTTCTTCGTCTCTGCAGCCACCACTATCTTTGTCGTTTTTCTTGACCTATATAATTGCACCTCCGTCGCAATCATACCGTCCCATTGCCAAAATCACTTGGCACCGTTTGCTTGGAGGCATACTTTATCGGTACAAGTTTGCTTTTTGAGCACGTTCACTTTTATGGAGGCTAACAAAAAAATAATAATTTATTTCTCTCTAATCTTCTATTTAGATATAAAATGAGTTATGAAGACTTAGAGTCTGTTTTTTTAAAATGTGATTTGAACGTAGTTTTTGAGTTGAATTTGAATTATAATTTAAGTTAAAATTGCAATTTGAGTTTGTATTTGATTGTGCACATTTAAGTTATAATTTGAGATAAGAATCTTTTTGAATTTGTGTTTGAGTAAGTCAAAACTTAAATTTATATTTAGATAGTATTTTAATAAAAACTCAATGGTGATGAAAAATTTTAATAGGTTATATGGGTGGGAAAAAAAATATCATCTCAATCAGGATTAAAACGAAAAAATTATAGTATTTTTAATAATAGAAAAAATATTATTCATTAATTTGAGTTTGAGTTTCTGAACACGAGTCGAAAGAAAAACTTAAACTTGAGTTTTAATCCCAAACTCGACTTCAAACTTAAAAGAACATGAACTTAAATAAAATTAAAACTCAAGTTATCTTTTTTTAAATTTGTAGGGCCGCTGAACACACCCTTAAAAAGTCAAGGCCACAAAATATAAGAAATGAGATGAAAATGTTAATTCTTACACATCCGTCCATTTATTTTGTTGATTTAAATTTTTAATTTAAATTCAGCTGTGACCTTAATAAGTTGACAACACATCAAGAGCTGCCATCTTTTAAATAGTCGGCAATTTAATTGACGTACTATGCTTTTCATGTTTGTTGTCTTAGCAACTGATGTTGAAAGCGCCTAAAAAAGGCTTTCGACATCAATTGCCATTCAGCAACCATGATCATTGTACATGACATTCGATCTTTATTGTTGAGCAACCGATGTTGAAATCCTCACCGCAACCATTTTTCTATTACTCAAACTATCATCCTTTTCACTCATTTTCATGGTAAGCAAGCTTTTTTACAACACCCCCCTTTTTTTTTTTTTTTTTTTTTTTTTTAAAAATGTGTAAACATGAGTACCATTTTGCCTCTTTTACTATATAAACGCTCAAAACACCCTGTGTTTATAAACTAGACTCAAAATATACAATTACATTTTTTAAAACATCAAGATTACTTTACCAATCTATATTAAATAAAAATATTAAAAATGTTCAAATAAATATTCTAATCAAATAAATACTTCAATTATTTTGATAGTTTTTCATTGTTTTAATATTGATTTTATTTGATATTTTGACTTAATAATGTCTTAAATTGTATCTAATAAAGGTTTGGAAGGATAATCGTAGCATTTAAAAAAAAAATAATTGCTTCAAAAGGTATTTTGAGTTTGATTTCATAAATACATGGATGTTTTGGGCATTTTTATAATAAACAGACAAAGTGATATTAAACACAGGCATATTTTGAATATTATGATTATTATTATTATTATTTCATTATTATTATTGTTGTTGTTGTTGTTGTTATTATTATTGGCTAATAGAACACTATGCTTTCTGTTGTGCACTTGGAAATATCCCTTTAGGATAAGTGGCATGACATTGTTGACATTTTGAGAGACACTGACTTGTAGTGGACTCAATTTAACATTATGGACTCTATACTTTTGGCTGCCTCCCAATAACATCTTTTCAACCCAACTGTTTAAGAGACATCATTCGTCGGGCTTGACACAGTGCAATATTAATCTAGAGTTCTCTCCGGCTAAGTTATGAGAATTTGAAAGTAACTAAAGGAGTTATACTATGAACACCAACTTAGTTATCAAATTTTGATGCTAAAATCAATATAGTAGCTGAATTCTCAACTTTTAATAGATAAAATAAATAAATATATGTAACTAACTAAATTATTAATTTTATCAACTTTAACTTGTTGTGACATCATTTAACGATCAAAATTTGATAAATAATTTAATAATGATAGTATTATTGGAGTATTTAACGTGTTGTGACATCATCTGATGACTAAAATTTAATAAATAATTTAGTAGTGATAGTATTATTGGAGTACTATTACTACCTTTGTGGGCTTGGATGGCGCAAAGTTGTCCAATGGGATTTGAAAAAGGACCAAACACTTGGGGGGTAGCTTTTCAGTTAAATCCCCCCTAGGTCTCCTGTTTTTGAGGACGTCCATGGAACATGCGCCTCAATGAGTTAGTGGACATTTTTTTCAAAAAAAAAAAAAAAAAAAAAAAAAAAAAAAAAAAAGCGGCTACGATATATATCAGATAGAGAGTTCTTTTCTAAGTCAAAGGCTTTGGCTTGTCAATGTTTCATGATTTGGTTCAGATTCATGCACGGTTATTATATTAGTTGTATAATATACTTCTATGTATTCAAAAGGGCATTGTTTATTGCGGGGAAAAAGTGCTGCCTCAACTTTCTCCTTGTTGCTCATTTTCTGACTCGTTTGGAATAAATCTCGGGAAGCCATAATGATCAAAACTTGAATAATTCATATGGTTATAATTACATAATAGAACCTTATTTATATATAGATAAAGTCTTTAATTTGGTACTGAATTAGAGCGGCACATGTATATTTCTTTTAAAAATATGTATATATTTCATCTAAAAATGTGTGTATAGATGTTTAAATAATTTATAAATGTTTCCCCACATTATACATGTTTTAAAAGAAAATATACATATTTTAGGAAGAAATATACACATTTTTTAAAAAAAAATATATACATGTGTTGTTATAATTCGGTACCAGATCAGAGACAATTCTTATATTATATCTATCTATCTATCAATCTATAGAAAGAACAAATAACCTTTATTCCTCGAACATTCCATCTCTTTCTTCATTCCTATTGACCTACCTATTGCTATCCATTGCACCTAGTATCTAGTCACATGGAAATATAGTAAATAGTTAAGCATATAACATAGCAAACAGATAGCAATAAGTATATTTGGGAGAATAAAATAAACCGAACCAATTGCCCAAGGGAAAACAAGAACATATTACTTTAACAGAGAGAGAACATATTATGAAGCCAATTATTAGGCCTTGTCAACATTAACCTCAGTTTATTTCGCTGATTAGAGTTTAGAATTCGAGTTTTGTTACAGTAAAAAACTCTCAAAAATAGTTACATCTAATTTTTTTACTATTGTAAAAAACTCTCACATAACGTTACATATCAACTCAAATTAAAAACTCGAATCAGCGAACTAAACGAGCTCTAAAGATATTGTTGCCTTATCTACATCAGCCAAATACTAAAAGCTCTGCACTCACATTAATGTAAATTTACAAGCCAGTTCCTCATCAAAAGTAATAATAATATTGCGAATGTCCAATAAATGACGTGAAAGATAATATTGGTAATCATGAAATTTATAAAAGATGCACCAATAATTATAATACTTTAGTCCGGATGACTTTTCTTTCTTTGCTGGAAAATTTAGTCACATGACTTGGTATCAAAGGAATCTCACAAATACAGATACCTATCCAACTTAGGATTGTCGACAAGTTGTACGTAGTTCCTATAGCGTGCAATAATAATGTTCAAGAGAACGTGCTTTCATGCCTATCAAAATCACCAACACCCCGCTTGGTTTGTTAGTTTGCTAGTTAAAATTATGTTGATCTAAGTAAAATTTAAATGGTGTGGTTTAAATTATAATACGAACTAATGTTTAAATGTACGGTTAAATTATATATCTGAATAGCGAATAAAATTTAAATTTGTGTTTAGATAAGTGTAGAGAGCATAAAGCATGAACATAATTTTACTATTTAAAAATGGTTTAAAAAGTTATAAGAGAGGAGGAAGGGAACTAAATTTTAAATTGAACAGTTCATACTTAATTTAAACGATAAATAAAATCTGGACCATGTACTTACCTAATATGGATTTGAACTTGGTTCACTCCTCATACTAAAGAAATTCGAATTAATGAACCCAACTGGGCAGCTCTTTAACAATGCAAATTTTTATCATGCAACACAAATCTCAGTCATTGGATACTATAAAGAAATGATTTCAATTATTGAAATGATTTCGACAAAAGACATTTTCGTTCCCACTATTTAACCATTGAGATTGGGTTACATAGTATATCCAAAAGAAAAGGAGATGTATTTTTGTTCATCAATGGGGCCTTTTGGGGGCTATATATGTCCATTAATATTTTTGTTCTCCTTTCACTTAGTACTTAGCTGTCATATTTCATGAAATTTAGAAGTAATATTGTAGCAAACAACAACTGACTGAGACAACTATTTTTGGAGTTCAATCTTTCTTTAGCTAATCATATTACTGTTGTGGGCTATGTTAGAGAGATTGTAATATGTCTTGATCAAGATCATAAGTTGTTTTAGTATTAAAACATGAAAACTCGTGTTAAAGGGACTTCAAAATGCTGCAGCGGACAAACTGCTTTGATTCGGCCAA